AATTTTAAATTTGAAATATATTAATTTTAATTTTATTAATATTTGATATTATTAATAAAAAAATAATTTACTGACAATATTTATTTACAGTATTTTATTAAAAAATGACATAAAAATAATTTTTATTATTTCTTTTTCACTCTACAAAATATGTAATTTAATGCACGTGGGTTCATTTTATGTCATGTAATTATTATGAATAAATATTCTTAATTGCTAACTATGTAAATAAACTAGTAGTATTTCTTTTTTCATAAAATTAAATTACTATTAATTTAAATCATATAATAATATAATAATGAGATGAATTAAAAACAACTTAACTTATAATTTGAAAAATGGAATAAATGTGTGTTGTAAAATGCACTCCAGCCAAAAGGAGCTCCGTTTTTATGTTTCCAGAATGATTAAGACCGGTGTCTTTTTTTTAAAGATATTTTAAATTAATAGTTGAAAACTTAAATTTATACATTAAAAGTTTTGAATTTAAATTTTAAAATAAAATAAAAAATAAAAAAATATTGTTTTATTATATAAATTTTTGGACCTAGGGGAGAATTTTTTTTTTTTAAAAAAAGAATGATTAGGACAGGTAAGGGCACGTTGTGGAGAAAAGTAGTGGTCAGACGGGCACCAACTTTTCGTGAGATCTTTGCTTTTTTTTCAGAACTTTGTGTTTGTAATCATTTGAGAAAAAAGGCAAAAAGGGGTGGGAATAAGATTCTTTCTTTGATTTTGTTGATGGTTTTTTTCACAAATAAATGTAGAGAAAATCGGGAGAAAGATGAAAAACAGAACATAAATTAAAATGAAAAGGAATATAAGTTATATAACACTTTAATTCAAATTTTTCCTTACCAATTTTTCTTATGCAATACAAACTCTAAAATAATTTAAAAATTTAAAAATTTTTTGTATTTTTTAAAATAATTATTCTTTTTTTTTGAACATTTTTATTATGGGCCGACTCAAACCGTTGCCCTGAAAAGAGGTATGAACCTTACAAACGTGACTAGAGTCACTTAACCGAAAGGTCAGGTTCTTTAAAATAATTATTCTATATGAAAAACAATAATAAAAGTATATTTAAAACGGTAAAAAACCATCAATTTTCCCGCTTGCTTGCTGTGCTCTGTAGTCGTTTTGCAGCCTTTCATTTCATTTGTATTTACATTCCTTTTGCATATGCATTTGCATTACATTTACTGTATATTGTAGCTTTATCTCCACCAACATTTATAGCTTAGTTTGTTGCACATTTTTGTTGTTATTTGACAATTTTATTTCTATCATATTTGCGGTTAAATCGCTGTCATATTTGCTATCAAATTACAACTTCATTTGCTATCAATTTTTAACCTTACTGCTGTCATTTTATAACAGTTTCATTTCATCATTTTTGTAAGTTTGAGTGCCACATTTTTAATAATATTTTCAACAGATTTTAAACTCTAGCGTGTGTACCTGTGTTTCCCGCCTGAAACTTCTTTTACCACTGAACAAGAATTGGGCCTAAAACTTGATAGAGATTAGAGTCCCATTCGTGGGTCAGTTGGCTGAATAACCGATGGCATATTGAATGGGAGGATTTGATTTTGAAAATGAGTAATAAACACTTAGACTGTCTGTTTTTCTTTTCTTTTGGCAATTCACCAAAAGTGATTTTTACTAATCAAGAGTCCGGATTATTAGGTCAGAGTATGGGGATCTCTTAGACTCTTCAAACAAAAAAAAAGAAAGATATGGGTTAGTGATGTCTATAACTCATATCATGATTAATGGCGAGCCCAAAGAGAAGCTTTTCCTTTGGGGGCATTCTGCTTGTACATTGTATAACAG